TGGGGCAGACTTTCTCAGCATCTACCACGCCCTCTTCTCGCACATCAATCAGGCACCGATGGCAAATTTGAAGGTGACTGGGGGTGTGCTCGGACGAATTAGTTGACAACGTCATACTGGAAGGCATAATGAAATATGATGGGGTCTGCCTTCTCGGTTGCTGGGTCTCATCCCAGTCTCTACCAATCCGACAGTACAAAGCTGTGTTCTTCCCGAGAAGAAGACGACTCGATCGCTGGGACAATACGTTTATTTGCCTAACGTTTCGACATCCGTCGCGGATTCATCATCAAAGACAGTACGAAAGTGTGTTCTTCCGCTTCTACCTCGAGGTGTTATCAAGAGCCGCCATGGGCGATCGCGTAGGGACAAGCTCTGCTAGTGGAAAGCCTAGCGAAAAGGACAAGGAAGCATGGAACGGTCATTTCTGGCTTCTTAGAAGTCTTTGGATACTGGACCAAAAATGGTCATACAAGTCGCCCTTGCTTTTGCCTGTATTCATTAGGCCTCATAAACCTACTTGGGATTTCAGGGGTCACGAAGTTAGAGAACTCCAACTACTTCTTACTCCATCAAGTCTCGCAGATGAGGTCGCACTAGGGTTAAAGCAACTTTTGAAGACAAGACTTGGTCCATTTTTATTCCGTAGTGTGGCCACTTAAATATGCGTAGTGTCAGAAGGATATTATCTTTTCTATAAAAACAACACCTGAAAATCATTTCCGCTTATCTGTAGCTAATCCCTAAGTTAAAGTCGATGCGTGAGGCTAACACTGAAGTCCAGTAGAGTAAGTCAAGTAAACCGCTATGGATGAGCGGTACGAGCGGCGGGAGGATGGGGACGAAAGGCAAGAGAATTGCCTATTTCGATGACTTAAATTAATCATGGTATTAACGCAGGTTTAAACAACAAAATAAACGCAGGACTTGAAGACTACCTGACTGTCATCCAAAATCAGGGCTCATTAGCCACCACTAACCTGTAGGTGGTACGTCAGCCTCCTTCAGCTGAGACAGCATGCAGGGAGAGACATCCGGATGCCGAGCCGCTGAAGAGCTGCCTCCACTAATGGCTGAAGAGGAGGAGAGGTTGGGTCCGCCAGCAGTGTTCACATTCAGGAGGAGGGGATTGTTGACAGAGGCAGCGCTGTTTGCAAAAATGGCGCCACAACTGCCACTACTGAGGCTGAGACTGCTACTGCTACTGCAGCAGGTGGCACCGGCGCCAGGAGAGGGACCTGTCGGATACCTCAGGAGGCCAGCTCGTCCATTCTCGTTGGGACCTTTGACAACGCCGGTGGGGTTACTGCCAGCGAAAGAGGTGGGAGATTCATGCAGGCGGTTGAGGTCAAATACGAGTGGGGTCAAAGGTCCCTTGAAATGGTTCATCACTCCAATGTCGGATAGCTTGGAGGTGACGGAGTATTCGGCTATTAGCTAGAGCAAGAAACACAGAGTGCCGGCAACTCAGTGTGTGGACGTGGATAGGTAAACTGGTTTCATTTTATGCAAACTAGTTGCGGGTTGACGGTGTGGATAAGGCTGTGAAACATTTCCATAGTGACTTCCCATTTAGCCTGAAAGGCGAGTTTTTTTTAGCTCTTGACAGATCAAAGTACTCTAGTGGTGAGAAGGAAAGTGTTCAGGCTCAACGTGCGCCGTCTCTGATAGCGAGACTGGCAGCCACCGCCATTTGGTAGTGGCTCAAAGTGTAGCCGAATAATATGATTCATTTGAAACAAGTGCAGTGCGTAAAGGGGGCGGGGGGAAGGGCATCATACAGTGTTGCTAGTTTGGTTTGCATTTCTTGGTCCTGTGAGCAATCAGAAACGCCAGCACAGCCGTTAGTGTGAACCGCTGACGGAACAATAGGAAGCCCATTGCGCAGGAGGGGCACAACGTTGACAAAGAATGGCAACTATGTGGATCACAATTAAAACAGTGGGTACCATTCAGAACCTAGGCTATTTAGTTCAAAGAAAGCTAGCCAGCTGAATAAAAGCATTTCCAGGCCTTGTACGAGTAAAACCATGAAACGTGTCTAACCGATTATGTTCACGGTGAAGGTTTTTTTAGCAGTTCACAGCTTTTAGTCCGTATCGAAAATCAAGTAGACCTTGGGTAAGAAACTGCAATAATCTCGCTCATTAAATACTAAAGTGATTAGGCATATGACATTGTCGCTGTGACATTTTCGCTGTGAGCGCACGGAAGGTCCTGACTTCAACTAAGTATTCCGCCGCTGGACTTCTCAACTGAACTTTTACCAACTTCTTATTGTCATTATTTGCCTCATTTAACTTCCAGTTTTTTTTAGTATAACAGACATAGAAATCGGCAATAATAAAAATAGACAACGGCACGAAGATTGGTCGGACACCGGAACCATTTGAGTTTATTTTTCTGGGCCTTCAAACTCTCTAGAGACCAAAGTAGTAACAGAACAGGCGACAAGTATAGGCGGTGTTTCTGCACCAAATATTGGTTGCGCAGGCCTGGGGACGGCTGAGAAAGGCTCTGCATGGCGGTTACTTTTATCCCTGATGCTGGACTTCTGCGTGAGTCCGAAAGCTCAAACAAATAAAAAATTATTTCGGTGCCCGACTAATCTTTCTCTTCTTCTTCCTTACTCATACAGACACCTGAACGGTCGCCTCCACAGGGGGTAGTCAATTATTTTCGCCTGCGTGTGTGTGTGATTATAACAGTTGGGCTTCAGAATATATTCAGTTCCAATACGATTTTTGCAGACGAAATCAATGCAGATGCCTTTGCTGTACATCATGCTGGACGTCTTTGTAGTCACCTGGCACAACGGATGCTCCACAGGTTAATGTTGCACACACAAAAACTATCCACCCAATCACCTAGCCTTGAGATACATCCATGTACGGTCTTTCAAACTTACTGTTACTGCGGCTGGTACGAAAAAAGCAGGGTAGCAGCGGTGGCTGAATTATAAACTGGAGTTTACTACTATTGAATTTAGCGTTGATTGATAATTCATATTCTGGGTCATTACGTGCTAGTTGGATATTGCTTGTGCCGTTGGTGCTGAAGAAATCGCGTATTAGGAGGCATGTGCGGGGCGGGGGCACTCAACGAGGGACTTCTTTCAAAACATCGCATCAGAGTAACGATCTGGACTCGATGGGGCGCTGATTGGGTAAGACAAGAGAACAGGCAGGTTCGTACTACAGGTGGCCTAGCATCAAAGGCTAGGGAGCCTAGTACTAGGGTTTCTTTTATGATTAGGGTTGCGATTAGACGGCGGGAGTATGCAACCTTCCTGGGATGGGGTGTATGACCACTTCTATTATTTGCGGTGGGGGCCTCCAGTCCCGTGTTCTAAACCAGAGGCTCTTCGAAGTTTCAAAGCCTGTGAAGCCTACGCGTCACTCAAGTTCTTCAGCGGATTGGGCAAAAAACCCTGCACCAACTGAGCGCAGCGAGAGCAACATGGAGAGATGTTGGCCAAGTGTTGCGCTCTTTAACAAACCGGGTTTCTACCAGATGACAACAACAGCACTAGCAACAACAACAGGCTGAAAGCCGTCTTGTCCGACAAAGGCAGTATTATTATTAGTAGTAGCAATTATAGCCCGCCGCTGCAGAGAGTGGTACAAAAGGTGGACAACGTGCTTCCGCCGCCGCCGACGACGACTCCGCG